CCACCCCACCCCCCCCTCCCCAAACAACAGGATCATGATTTTCACGAGTGCTGCAAAATAGCTTGATTTGTTGTAAGAACAGCACATAATCGGTATTTGAGTTTGCGATGTAAGTAGGCTTGGGTTACTTTCAGAGCACTTGCTTGCAACTGACGGGAACTAATCTGAGGTCAGTCTCAGTTTTTGCTTGTTATGAAGAGTCCTTTTCACACAGTTCTCGACTATCCTGTTCTCACCCTGTACACACAGACAGACGCACACATAGACAGTCAAACACTCTCACATGAGCAGACCCACTAAACTCACTTTCATAAGCCTCTGATCATTTGGCCAGACACGAAGTGAGCTGATTAGCTGGTGCATGCACAAACTGCCAAGTCTGCTTAAAAGGGCACTGAGTGGGCACCAGGGGGGAACCCCACAAGGCTGTGTGTGTGAGACAGTGTATGTATGTGTAGGGGGTATTCATATTGGAGTAGGAACAGTTTGTCAGTTAATAGATAGATTATCCTTTATGCACACATCACCAACTCCTGAATATTAGCATCAGATTGAAGAAAACATGTTATTTCAATTACTTTGAATATGACATGGTTGTTTTTACCACATGGGCTGGTCTGAGTATGGGGATTTTCCACACAACATTCTGTAGGGTATACAGAGAATCACCCACAAAAGAAAAATATCCTATGGGCTTTTCTCTGAGCGAAAATGTCTTCTTGATGTGAGGTGTCAAAGGAGAAAGGGCAGTCTGCTTCAAGCTTATAGAAAAATAACAGCAACTCAAATAACCACTCGTTACAACCAAGATATGCAGAAGAGCATCTCTGAACACACAGCTTGAGGCAGATGGGCTACAGCAGCAGAAGACCATACCAGGTGCCCCTCCTGTCAGCTAAGAACAGGGAACCAAGGCTAACATTTACGAATACAGCAAAATTAAAGATTAGAAGTTTGGAAAAATATTGCCTGGTTCGGACGGTAGGACAATTTGGCCTAAACAATATGAAAGCATGGTTTGTAGAAACAGCTCAGGCTGGTGATTTTGTAATTTTCTTGAGACACCTTGGGCCCCAACTGAGCGTCATTTAAATGCCACAGACCATGTGTCTTTTTATGACCGCAGTGTGCACATCTTCTGATGGCTGCTTGCACGTCACAAAGATCATATCAATTCAAACTGTTTTTTTTCAATATGTCAATGAGTTCATCTGATCTCAATCTAGTACAGCGCCTTTGTGATGTTTTTATTATTATTATTGTTATTATTATTTGTAGCAAGTTATATCTAATAAACTGCCGAATGTAATGCATATAGGTGTTTTTAAGGTGTTTTTATTTCCTGTTAACTTTCCATGTATGTGTCTCATATAAAATGTTCAGTATTTGAATTTATGTATACATTTCATTAATATAGTCAGTCTTTTCTTTTCTTTTCTTTTCTTTAACACATTGATGTCAGAAATGAAACAGAATCCTGAATGAACATCTAATAAGAATTTCTGTAAGGTTTTTGGCCTGTTTATTTATTGTTTTCTATGTTTTGTGTTTTTCAGATGCTGAGGGAGGGAAAAGAAGTATACGATGAGAATATCCACTATCCTCACCTAATCACATTGACCAAAGGACCTCAACCTGTCAGCCCCACTCAGTAATACAGAACAAGTGAGCCTTTAACAGTATACAGTTCCTTTGTATTACTTGCTAGATATTTTAATTTAGCATCAAAAAGCTACTGTCCATCTAAAAATAGTCTCTCACCAGCCATCCCTTTAACCAGGTGGCCTGCCATTCTTGTAATTGACCAAACATCTAAGCTCTAGTCAGCCTGTTGCTCATCCCTTTTCTTAATCTTTCATCCAAGAAAGTGGATCACATTGCCAAACTGTCATCTGGCCAACCAGGTAACCTTTGAGTACTGTGTCAGACCTTTAGTGACCTTCACTGCTATTAACCTGTCATCATCATAGCTGTTGAGGCAGATAGTTGCTTAGTCAGTTAACCAGCTATTCAATCAGTCAGTTGCACTGACATTTTCTACATCGATACAGGTGGCAGTTGTTCAGTCAGTTGCCCCGATTAAACTTAGTCAGCATTAATCCATGCCACTGTGTTTCTGGCCTCAGCATGGAGGCCTGCTCTACTTCATTAACTGTTACAGGCTGCTCACAGCTTCCTCTCTTTCCTGTTTTAATGTCTTCAAATGCAACTCATTCATCCCAGTCAGAGGTCAATATTAAGAATTTATTTTCTACATTGCGTTTGCATATTATGCACGTTCAGACTAACGAGCTACAGATTGGATTTGATACAACAAAATTGCATTTTCAAAGCTCTGTTGATGATATAATCTGTGTTTTAACTGTACAACAGACATTTGTTCTGAGTAGCTGAAACTTCTGCTTGACTGGTATTTTGTTTTAAAAAAAAAATCAAAATGCTGTTGATGAAATTATTAATCAGACTTACTTGTCATCCTCAGCTGCATATTTTCAGCTGGCTGCACTCAAAACAGTTACTGACAGTGCAAAGATATGAAACATAACAGCTACTGGTTTGAACCTTCAGGACATGTGTGTGTATCTAAAGAGAGAAGAAATACATACACAAATAATGACATCACCATTTGCATTTATTGACAAGTGACCCTGAAACTGTGGAATCAATAAATTATATTACTATTTTTTGTGAAGTAGATTTATTAATTATCCCTCAATTTCCACTAAGTAATGACAATCTGCTGCTATTACTAACTGGCATGTTCACCATGCTCTGTGACTGCAGCACCTTGATCTAAAGTCCTGCCAGCCAGGAGCAGCTTAGATCTCTCAGTGTGACATGGCTGTATGTAAACGCCTGATTTATTGAGCGCATTGCTTTTATTAAACAGTAGGCCTATTTGTTAATTAAGATTTTCTTGTGTGCAACAAAAATATTTTACTATTTCATGAATCAGAAAAGGGTTTGTTTCTTTTCTTTCCTTCCCTGTGCCACAAATACAGAATACCTAAAAATATATTTTTTAGTATTCATGTGACTAGAATACGAGAACAGAAACACACAGCTCAGTGATTTTAATGATGATGATTTTAAATTAAAAAAAACTTTGTGGAATCATCCCTCAAAATCAATACGATAATAATACGATAATTGCTTTTACTTCTGCTGCTTACTGCATTTTTTCCCAGCTGCTCTACTCAGGTCTTTTCTCATGCATTCACTTGTTTCCTGTTTCTGCTATCGTTACAACAAAACAGCAAGTGCCAGTGGGTCACTCAAATCTAAAGCTGTACCTAACACTGCGGGGGGGTTTCCATAAGTCACTGTGATTCATTACCTTATACAGCAGCCAAGAAGCTATGCAGAATCTCCTGGTCGCCAGTGTTTACATTGTTCATATTAAAAAAGAATTCGCTGGTAGAGAATGCCAGTTTATTAGTGTTTTTTTTTTTTTTGGGGGGGTTTCAATTATTCAAAACTGTTTCCAGTGCGAAGATTTGAAAGGTTATTTAGTAATGTTATCTTTTTTCTGTACTGCAGTTTACTGTGTATGTCAGATATATGTAGGATAACATAAATGTCCTCACAGCTGATACTGAATATAGTGTTTTCATCACTGTCTAGTGTGACATCACCAGTGCTACCAGTTTGGTATTAGGCATCACTGTTTACTGTGGCCTCTGTGCTACTGTGCTGCTTCTTTCCAAATTATTGCCTGTGTTACTGGCAAAATCTTCTGTGACGCCTTCAAACATGAACACACCGTCAGTTCTGTATTTATGATACTAATGCTTAGACTTACCACTTCTCACTGTGACAACAGATATTCAAGAAACTGCTGACAGGTGGCATTATTCTGATTTTGCTGCTTAATATCGAAAATATGGGGAAATCCTTAAAAATGTTAATTTGCAGGCCATGTCCACAGTACTTTGTGAGAGCGTAAGGTTGGTTTTCGTTTTTTCCATTGATCTTTTTCTACATGTCTTTTTTCAGCCACCAGAAATAGAAATACAATAAAAAACACAGTTTGAATAAAATTGAGATGTGGTTTGCTGTACAGAGCCTCATGTTAATGGTGTGGAAGAATAACTTTAAGAGTTTTTATAATTGATTTTTTTGATTGCATAATATTCAGAAAAAAATGTCAGATATATCAATAAAAAGTTAATGACTTTTATGTATGTGGACATGGCCTTATGTAGTGAGTTTCTCCATTCAGTATTTTCCTTCTGCTTCAGTGTAATTTTATGAGTGGGTGTTTTTTTTTTCTTTTCTTTTTTTGTGGACAAATAAAGATAAACACATTTGCTTCAAAAATGCTGACTTTTTCTTTAATTTGTCAATTTAAAAAAATATGCTGTGCCAGTATATCATGTATTAAATGCTTCCAGTGCTGCTTTATCCATATACAAAACAAACTTACTTTTAAAATGTCAATGCAACAAAAACCAAGAAAACAATTACAAAAACACAGTTTATCCTTCTTAGATAGATTTTATTAGATGGGATATATTTGTTATTTTTCCTGAATAAATGGTCACTATAGAAAATTTGTGTCTCACTATTGAAATTTAGACTTAAATGTTCACAAATGTACTTAGTTTTCTCCGAGCCCAGATCATCTGTGGACTGTGTTTGAAACACAATGGCCTCCTGCAGGCTAAGCTGGCTGCAGACAAGGTAACACACACATATGCGCTCACACACATGCACACATATCAAGCCCAGTCAACAGTCTTCCCCTCCACAGGAAGAAAAGAGAGAGGGATAAAGGAGGGAGGGAAGGGAGTACACAGCAGCTAATCCTGCAGGCTCACTCTTCTGTTTATCTGTCAGAAGAAGGGGGGGAGAGTTTGTAGAAAGGGGGGCAACCAGCGAGGCCTCCTGATCTGTCTTTTGATATTTTAAAGAGGTCTGTTCTCTCCTCCCCAACATTCTGCTGGAGAGGCGGAGAGGAGAGATAGAAAGACACTACAGACAGCAGCAGAGAGGGAAAGGCAAAGGCTGGAAAAAGACAAAAAGGCAGAGGAGGAGGAGGAAAACAAGAAATGGGACAAGATACGCTGAATGGCAGGGAGCAAAGGCAGAGTGAAACAGCTGGAAATGAGGTGAAACTAGATCGAAACAGCAGGGAAAAGCTTCGGCCTTGAAAGAAAAGGGAAGTTGACTGAGAGACTGAGATTGACCGGCCAAGTGAGTGATCGAACAGAGAAAAAGAGCGCGACAGAGTGCTCCCAGCTCGACACAAGGGCCCCATTAACTTGACCACTTGCCCTTTGCACACAAAGGCAGGGCCAGCCCACTGCCCCTCCCACCCAATTATCCACGATTAGGCTCAGTGCACTGTGTCAAGATGGAGAGGGAAGGAAAAGAAGAGAGGGGAGAAATGCGAGCACAGGGAGGAGGAAGAAGGGGACAGAAAGAGCAAAGGAAAGAGAGCAAGGACTTAAAGGGTGAATGATGACAGGAAACAAAATTGTCATTAACAATGAATGCATTCGAACATTTTATTGAGCACCCTTCATGCAAAGGAGTCTTGTAGCTGTCAAGAGTTCAGCACACATTGTCTCCAGAAAATTTTAACCACTTTGATTTATAGCTTTCTGTGTTTTTTCTGTTTGCATGGTTCTTTATGTTGTATGTCTGTGTAGGTTCTCAGTCATCTGGGTCATAGTAATCTGAGGAGCTTGGAAAGAAAAGTGACTGGACTGTGACTTTAAGTTTGTTGAAGACATTTCACCTCTCATCTGATAAGCCTCTGAATTGAAGAACTGAAGAAATAAAGAAGCTTCTCGGATGAGAGGTCAAACATCTTCAAGAGACTTAAAGTATATATGTTTAGTTCCTTAGTATATATGTTGCATATGTTTTATCTCAAAAGCACTGAGATGTTTTCTTCTTGGGTTTTTGATGCTTGTTATTTTCCCTAGAATCAACGATATCATTAAAATAATCCTTTTAAAAATGCATATGCTTGAAGATATTGTTCCCTAGACATTAAATAACAAAGAGCAATGAGAGCATTCATTTGAAGCTGTGTTTCTGATCTTGTGACCAGTGGATGGCTGATATTCACTCTTGTTCCCTCTGTTTTGGTTTCTAGCAACTCTCTCTTATGCTTCCCATGTTTTCACTCACTACTATTTTTTTTGTTTGGTACTGGCCAGGAAGTATACAAAGGGTTTTAGCTGCCTCAGGTACTTTCACACTAATATTTTTATGTGCTACATTTACACCTCTACTCCACTGCTCTTGGAGCCCTAAAATTGAGACTTCTGAGCCAATTTTACTTTAAAAACTTTAATATGGTAGCTATATGGATGGTATTAATTTAAATTTTGTTTCGTCCTACTTGTGAGTACTCCTTTCCCAGTGCTTAACCAATCGCTGTCTTTCATCCATAGCATGCATTTTATTTTTAGTTATTTTTATTTTTTTTGTATTTATTTTTTTGCAAGCAGCCCGCCCTCTGAGCACAAACATGCTCACCATATCGTACATTGTCATTTTTAAGCACAATTTCACACTTGTATTAGTTTGGTTGTACCCTGAGTAAACTAAAGCAGTTGGAAGGGTATTTAACCCAAACAATGAGCCGAAAAATGCTTAAAAGCTCAGTGAAGCTTTACCCAGCAGAGATGGGTAATAATTCACATCACACATTAACAGTTTTTTAATCC